GTAAGAATGTATATACTTGTTGTGTATTATATGGCTGGATCCTGCAAGGCAAAAGTAAGTTGAGGGCAGCTAGAACCTTGCAGTATTGGGTCTATAGTGGATACCAAACCTAACGCAAATATTTACTTGATTCTTACAGTGATATTACTTGGCTACCTACTAGCAAAGGCACCATCATTAACTAACAAAGAATTATCTTTGTATATTAGAGATGAGAACTGAGACAATCTGATGATGTTTCTTTAAGTTAAAATTAAGTCAACTTAAAATACTGTAATAAGCTTTAGGGGGTAGCCGAGTTAGTCTGTACAGGAAAAATTAAAAAAAACAACAACAAATGATCTGGTAGCACTTTATAGACTAACAAAACATATAGATGGCATCATGAGTTTTCGTGGGCACAGCCCACTTCTTCAGATGTCTCCGGTCATCTGAAGAAGTGGGCTGTGCCCACGAAAGCTCGTGATGCCATCTATATGTTTTGTTAGTCTTTAAAGTGCTACCAGACCATTTTTTGTTTTTTTGTAATTAAAATAATAAGTTATTAATGATTTTTGGTACTGTGCCTGCTACTGAACCTCCTGCCCCCTAGTATCTGCAATCATATTTTACTATTATTAAATGTCTTTATATCTCCCATGTTGTGAGAAATAGCCATGAAAACAAAAGAGGAAACTTGTTTATACACAAAGTAATGTCAAATACACACAATTTTTTTAAAATAAAAAAACTAGTCTTTCAAGATTTATGGAAATTTTAGGTAGAAATAATAAATTACACTTTTCAGTCAGAAGTGTTATTGACAGTGTCCCTTTTAAGGAAAATTCCAGCACAACACAGAAATCACTTTTAATGTTTGTAATTCAGTGTCATGATTAATTATCAAGGACTAAATCCAGCCACACAGACATGGATATTTTCCTCTTTTCCTCCAAACAACCAACTTTGGTTTTCTCTTTTACTCTGTCAAGGTCATTGTAAAGCAATGAAGTAACCAGCCTATGTCCCCTACACAAATTTGGTTGCTCAGAGATGTGCAAGGAGCCACTACAGAGTTGTGCTTTGCTGTGCATAGGGTGTAGATTCCTAGATTTCTACAACTCCACCAATATCCACTTTATATCCACATTTTCCATGTCTGTGGATATGGATGGAGATATCCACAGCTCATTTATGAGGATACAACTTTTGTATCTGTGCAGACATTAATAGATTCCATACACAGATTCTATATATACTTCTTCTCACCCCCATAGGAATACCCTGGTTGTCAGCAGCCTTTAAAAAGCTGCAATTGAAGGAGGCAGGATTTCCTTCAACAAATTGCTGTTTGACTATCCTTTTACAGTTCTATTTTAAACAGGAAGCTGGTGCCTTGACAGTTCAGTCATGCTGAGTAGAACACAAGCATCAGCGTCTCTGTTTAAATAACTGGAATTCAGGTTTTTTCATGTTTTGTTAAAAAAAAAATGAACAAATAGTTGGATAAATGCTGTAAAAAGTTAGTCCTAGCTTCCTTCCTAAAGCTTTGAAAGTCTTGGATTTCTAATAATTTCAAATGGTGAATATGATATTTCTGTCCTACTCTGCATCAAAATAGACCATTGCTGGAAAGTATAATTGAAATATTAGACTTGAGACAGACATCTTTTTGCATTCATTTAACAAGATACTGAAATTGTGATCAGTATTTCTAAATGAAAATTCCTGTGTTTTAATAAGCCCCTGGAGTTTTTCTTTAATTGCATTTTGAATGATGAGCGACAGGCCCATTCAACTACATCTAAAATCTATTCTCTATGGTATATGGTCTTAAAAGTCTGAAGGAAGCACTTACATTAAAAAAAAAAATTAAACCCTCTCTGGTGGTCACTGTCTGTCCATGACACACAATTAAATGCAATTCCCAGCATTTCAGGGATTAAGGCAAACATAATACACACTATAATGATGGCTCTTCATTCACTATACAATAAGAGTTAAATTAAATTAGTGGGCATTAAAAAATATCTCGAAGTATTAATTCATAAACTGAAAATACTATAAAATTTTCCAAAATATATTATTAGTTACACATTATGTAGAAACAAATATAAACAGAAAATGTCAAGTTTTCCTCTACACAGATAATATTTTTAATCTGTTTAGTAGTAACATCCTCAAAGCTGATACAAAGAAATTTCCATTGGTGCCAAAAATCTAATAGCTTCTTCCTTTATACAGGTTGAACCTCTCAAGACCAGCACCCTTTGGACCTGACTAGTGCTGAAGCAGAGAATTTGCCAAACCACGGGAGGTCAATATTGTCTAGTAGTATTACCAACATTTTCACTGCTTACTAGGGCTTTTATTAGATAGCTTGGGGTAAATTAGAGCTAAATAACAGCACAGAACACTAAGAGCTAGGACTGGTGGCTATAAACAAACTTTATAGAATTGTGGGAAACTTGGCCACATCCATGATAAGTGGACATCTGGGTAACTAAAATCATGCCGGACCATGGGATGTTGTCAGACCAGAGGGTGCCAGACTAGAGAAGTTCAACCTGAATCTAAATATTTTGCTTAAATTTAATAGGCAAAGCAGTTAATCAACATAGATTCATTCAGTTGAAGATAACAGAGTTGTACCATCTATGCACACAAACTTTTGTTAGGTCAGCACCGGATTTATGCACAAGCTAATTAAGATACATTTTAGGGCCTCAGATTATGAGGGGACTCTAAAAACAAAACAAAAATAACTCATTTTTAGTTGCATCCTTGCCTACATATATGCAAATAAAAACATTTTATTATTTCTATTTTCATTGTCCATTTTGTTAGAATAATACACATTTTTTGTTAATGTTATTGGGCCTTTTCAGCTTGATATAGTTTAGGGCCTCAGCATGTCTTAATCCAGCCCTGGTGGAGTTGTTTGCTTTTCATCAACTTTCCTTATACCCTAGCCCTCTTCCTTCCGTGCCACCCAAAATCATATTGCTAATCAACTTGGGATAGGTTTGTCCCCAACACCAAGACCACCACCACTCCTGACTGGTGATACATAAAGGTGAGTATTTATCCGTAGGATAATAATAGCTAAAATCAGAGGATTTAAAACAAAACAAAATTAAGTATTTTGTTCACACAATGCATAGCCAATCTGTGGAATTCCTTGCCAGAGGATGTTGTGAAGGGCCAAGATTATAACAGGGTTTAAAAAAAAAAGATCTAGATAAGTTCATGGAGGATAGGCCATTAATGACTATTGGTCAGGATGGGCAAGGACAGTGTCACTAGCCTCTTTTTGCCAGAAGCTGTGAATGAGTGACAGGCAATGAAGCACTTGATGATTGTTTGTGCTGTCCAATTATTTGTGCTGTGCAACGACAAAGTCATTGCAGAGAAACTAAACAAATTCTTTGCTTCAGTTTCATGGCAGAGGATGTTAGGAAGATTCCCAAACCTGAGCCATTCTCTTTAGGTGACAAATTTGAGGATTTGTCCCAGATTGAAGTGTCATTAGAGGAGGATTTGGAACAAATAATTGATAAACTTAACAGGAACAAGTCACCGGGACCAGATGGCATTCACCCAAAAGTTCTGAAAGAACTCAAATGTGAAATTGACAGTGATCTGTAACCTACCCTTTAAATCAGCTTCTGTACCTAATGACTGGAAGATAGCTAATGTGACACTAATATTTAAAAAGGTGATCCTGGTTATTACTAACGTCAGTAACGGGAAAATTAGTGGAAACTATAATGATGAATAAAATTATCAGACACATAGATGAGCATAATTTGTTGGGGGAAGCCAATATGGTTTCTATAAAGTGAAATCATGCCTTACTAATCTACTAGAGTTCTGTGGATATAGTATACTTAGATTTCCAGAAAGCCTTTAAAAAGGTCCCTCAACAAAGGCTCTTAAGTAAAGTCAGTTGTCATGGGATAAGAGGGAAGGTCTGTCATGGATTGATAACTGGTTAAAAGATAGGAATATAGTAAGTTTTCAGAAAGGAGCGGTAACTAGTGGGGTCAGTCCTGGTACCAATCCTATTCAATTTATGTATCAATGATCTAGAGAAAGTAGTAAACAGCAAGATGGCAAAATTTACAGATGACACTAAACTGCTCAAGATAGTTAAGACCAAAGCAGACTGTGAAGAGCTTCACAAAGATCTCACCAATTAGGAAACTGGACAGCAAAATGGCAAATGAAATTGAATGTTGATAAATGTAAAGTAATGTACGTCGGAAAACATAATCCCAGCTACACATACAATATGATGGGGACTAATTTGGCTACAACTACTCAAGATAGAGATCTTGGAGTCATTGTGGAGAGTTCTCTGAAAACATCCACCCAGTGTTCAGCGGCAGTCAAACAAAATGTTAGGAATAATTTTAAAATGCACAGAGAATAAAACTGAGAATATCTTATTGCCTCTATATAAAACCATGGTACACTAACATCTTGAATACTGCATACAGATGTGGTTGCCTCATCTCAAAAAAGATATATTGGCATTGGAAAAGGTTCAGAAAAGGGCAACAAAAATGATTATGGGTTTAGAACGGGTCCCATATGAAGAGAGATTAAAAAGACTTGGACTTTTCACCTTAGAAAAGAGGAGACTAAGGGAGGATATGATAGAAGTCTATAAAATCATGACCTGTGTGAGCAAAGTGATTAAGGAAAAGTTATTTACTTGTTCCCATAATATAAGAACTCGGGGTCACCAAATGAAATTAATAGGTAGCGGGTTTAAAACACACAAAAGGAAGTTTTTCTTCACTCAGTTCGCAGTCAACCTGTGGAACTCCTTGCCAGAGGATGTTGTGAAGACTAGAACTTTAACAGGGTTCAAAAAGAGCTAGATAGATTCATGGAGGTTAGGTCCATCAATGGCTATTAGCCAGGATGGGTAGGAATGGTGTCCTTAGCCTCTGCCTGGAAATGGATGACAGGAGTGGAATCGCATAATTACCTGTTGTGTTTACTACCTCTGGGGCATCTGACATTGGCCACTGTTGACAGATAGGATACTGGACTAGATGGACCTTTGGTCTAATCCAGTATGGCCATTCTTATGTTCATTTCCTCTGGGGAACCTGGCATGGGCCACTGCTGGGAGACAGGATATGGAACTAGATGAAACTTTAGTCTGACCCAGTATGGCCATTCTCATGATTTATCCACAGTGTCAGTAAGAGGAAGGTATTGCTCCTTTTCACATGCTTCTCTCACAGAGATACAGGTAGCTAACAGGGCTCTGGCCTTCCAGGAATTGCTTTCTGGAAATGTCACTGGGGCACAGTAGGTAACCAAGTACCTTCCATTCAAAGAAAAAAGGGAGTGTTCTTTCCAGTGTGTCACCTCTCGTTAATGCCCAGTAGGGGCCACTGGCGCAACAGCACAAATCTACCCATCCTTCAATTGCAGGTGCTGCAAGATGTCCACAATTCAATTCAAAATGAAGAGTATAGGAAAAAGTTGAACATTAAGAATCCATTCTCCTGTATGGTATGAATACATTTCTGGTTCTGTGCCAAGAAACTTTTATATTTTTGTGTTGACAGAGGTTTGTGCATATTAGCTGCTGCTTACATTGGAATGTACTTTTATATCTAAAAAGTAGCAAGAATCCAATGCTGCTGATAGAGATAATGGCTTTATACCTTCTCTATGAAAGTCTAGATCTTGTAGAAGTATAAAGTATTGATGCTTAGTATTGGACAACATAAATCTTTGAAGATAGCTGTCAAAATTGTGTTCACTGGGTCTTGTCTTCTAGTTAGAGCCGTGCAAATCCATGGATATCCACTTCATAGCCATGGATTTCTTCATCCGTGGGTATGGATGCCACTCTCCTCAGCTCATTTTTGCAGTTTCGGATGCAGATAGAAATTTTGGATCTGCACAAGGCTCTACTTATAGTGAACAAAGGAGAAAGCTACCAGCACAATGTGCTTCAGCAATATTGTCCTTTAGATTGTAGGATTGTCTATTTCCTTTAGTCAGTGGAAGCATTCTGAATGTCTTTTGCTTATTATTGGGAACTTATTTTTAATCAATAGCAGACATTTTGGGCAAAATAGCTCCACATCCTAATTCACAGTGATACTTCTCAACTATATAAGCCTAAACCAACTAAAATATTTAAATGATTGTGTACTTTTGAGGTACACAAAGGTAACAACCCTTTGCTTTTATATTGAAAAGAATACCATCAAAATATCTTTTAAACCCTGTCATCCCTGAAGATACAGTGTCAGGGCTGAAAATACATTTAGTTAAACAAAAGCTTTGCCTCCCTATATGCCCACCTTCTGTGCAAGGAATTCTAGTACCATAGTAATTTGTTTCTTATCAAGAAACAATGTATGAGATAGAAACTCCCCTCCATCCCTAAGATGTATATGATAGAAAAGGAGGAAAAGGGAGTTTAGCTGAAGAAAGCGTTAGCAGTGCTATACATTGAGTACTAATAATTACATATATTCCTACTGAATTCAATAGTGCCAGGATTTCACCCTATTAAGTACTACTATGCCCCAGTTGATTTACTGGCAAATAACAACAGGTCTGCTTTCGAATTTTCCTTTAACACCTACAGTAACTTTGAAAGGGAAAAAAAAATCAGATGTGACTTTCTATGAAACAAAATAATATTCTGGAATACTGTTCCTACAGTGTATCATTGCTCAAACATTTTCATAGACTGAATTATGCATATCTACTTAATAGTAAGGATAATTGAACATCTCCTTGCTACTTTGATATAGCTATATTGTACTCTACTTGTCTAATTTGTGCTATTTACCTTCTGTAAACATATTTTGCAGAATATTCTGTAAACCAGTGTTTTTCAACCTTTTTTCCATTTGCAAACCCCTAAAAATTTGGAATGGAGGTGTGGACCCCTTTAGAAATTCAACATGTGGTGTGCAGACACCTACCATAGAAGTTCTATACTGAATACTGTCTGAACAAAATTCAGGTATAAGTGTTGCACATGCTCGGCACAGCATTTGCTGCACTTTGAGCTTCTATGATAATGACAACACTTCCAGGTTTTGACCTGTAGGTCGGTATAATCACATGCTTTTGATTAATCTGAAAAATGGAATGCCTTCGCTGAGATCTAAAACTTATATTCATAGTCACCTTTCACGAACCCTTTTGACATTGTCTGCAGATCCACAAGGTTGAAAATCACTGCTGTAGGCCTACTCCCAATTTATCTCCTGTTAGTTCCCTGTAAAGATATAAGAATGCATTCATATTTTAATGATCAAAGAGTAAGGTCACTTTTTGTTATTCATTATACCATCTCAGATAATGACAACGTATTTTAACAAACAGGGATAAGAAGACTGTATGAAAAGCACTTGCTTTCCTCATACAATATAAAATGTCCCTCTTTTTTAGGCAGTTGTTAAATTATTAATACTTTGTGATTACTGATTAATTGAATATAATCGTACAAACAAAACACTCCTAAATTTTAATATAGCAAAAGGTATAGTTATCTATTTGGAAACATGTCCGTGCCCTCATCTTCTTTTATGTTCCTACCAGGAATATCAATCTATCACTGAAGAAAGTCTTTGTGTTACCGGATCTGAAGTATTCAACAGGGATTAGCAGCTAGTCCAACACGTCAGTCACACTTTGTAGTAGAGACTTTCAAGATGCATGAATATAAATTATTGTTAATCTGCTGGCAGCTACCTTTAGACTATTTCATTCAGCAACTACATTCGATCATAGTTTACTAAAGAAACATGCATGTTAAGGTTGCTTGAAGACATTAACATTCACTTGTCCTTTCATGTGTAATAAACTGAGCATTTTCATTTGCATGTTCATCTGCTTCTTCCACAGGGATCTTTTCCTGCATTCCACTGTTTTCTGAGTAAGTATCGTCATCTTCCTCATCTCTAGGATGACCTTCAAGACTGTGTCTGATACCATATGCAAAGTAAATAATAAAGCCTTCCAAAACAAAAACAAAAAATATTTAGTAGTTTTCTCAAGCAAATAGTTCATTAAAACAGTGATTTCCAGCCCCCCAGACACCTAAACCCATATATTTGAACAGCTCCCAGCCTCTGCTATGCAAATTACAGCTGGTACCTCAGGCCTTTGTACCCGTTAATGTAGCTCTTCCCTACATTAAAGACAAGTGGCAGTGCTGGACCCTGGTTATTTGAGTATACTCCTATCTGTGATGTTAATGGTAAGTGCTGCCTGTAATTCATGCCTGCAATACAAGTTTGGAGCACCATAATTGATTTTGCAATATATCTTTCTATAATTTTAAATGTTCTACAGTTCAGAGGAGAATGATAGAGTAACAGGAAATAGATACAGTTGGTGCAAATATTCCTCTCTCTACAATTTTGATTATAATTATTAGAAAAATATTGATATGGATTTTACATCTTTTTTCTCCCCAAGTTTTCTGGCCTAGCCTACAGAGTCTGTACCAATTTAAGTAAATTGATTTAGAAGCTGAGCTAGTTAAATCAGTGCAACCTCCTTGTGTGAATACTCTTAGGGTACATCTAAACTACATCCCTTTTTCCGATAAAGGGAAGTAAATTAGATGTATTGAAATTGTAAATAAAGCTGGGATTTGAATTTCCTGCACTTCATTTGTATAATGGTGGCCGCGGCTTTTTTTCGAAAAGCCGCTTTTCAAAAAGCGGTCAAGATGGGGATCATTTGACAGAAATGCCCTGTTTCGATAGATCCTGTAACCCTCAAAAATGAGGCTCTTTCGAAAGGGGGCATTTCTGTCGAACGATCCCCTCTTGACCGTGGGGTTGTTTTTTTTTAAAGCAGCTTTTTGAAAAAAGCCATGGCCACCATTATGTAAATGAAGCGCAGGAAATTCAAATCCTGGCTTCATTTACAATTTTGATATGTCTAATTTACATCCCTTTATTGAAAAAGGGATGTAGTTTAGATGTACCCTTAAATGCACCAACTTAAGCTACATCAGTGTAAGACAATTTCCTAAATCAATTAAAAAAACCTGCCTTCATTTAAACAATTTGCACGATGGGCAGCTGGGAACCCAGAACTTGCCTTATTGCCCAAGACCCCACTCCTCCTCTTCTGCTCCTCCTTCTTTCTCCCGTCATACCCCTCCTTCCACACAGGAGCACAGAGCACCTCCATCCTGGCCCACAGCCCAAGCAAGGCCTGAGCCCCAGCGCACTGGACAGTGCAACCTCAGCATCCCCAACCCCAGTGCTCCTGGTGGTGTGGCCGTAGGCACTGACTCTGAGTGTTCCAGGGCTCGAGTACCTACAGGGAATACTTAGTAGATGCTGTGCACCCACCAGTAGCCAACTTCCCCCGTCTAGCCCCTTCCCCCAGCACCTCTTGTTCACTAGCAGCCTTGCTGATCAACTCCTCCCCATGCCTCCCTCCTACTGCTGTGAGACAGCTGTTTCACGGCATTCAGGATGATCCAGGAGGAGTTGAGTGCACACACATGCGCACACCTATCTAGAAGGGAAGTCAGAGTCTATGGCCACAGCACCCCTAGCACTGGGGCTCCAGGCAGCCAGCCCAAGAGCACCAGGGGATGTGGTCTGAGTGCCAGGTGGGCAGCATACCCACAGCACCGGCTGCCCCGAGTCCCTTTGTGGGAGGCAAAATGGCTATCCCCAACCAGGGGAGGCCAACCAAGGCAGAGTGCTGGGAACAGCAGGAGGGGGCCTGGTCTGGGGGTGAATCATGGGCAGGTCTATGGTAGGCTGTTTGGGGAGGCTCAGCCTGCACCTGCCTACGATACCTGCTACCCATGGTTTACACCCATTTGCATGATTTGCATTAACTAACTCTATTTCAAAATCAGTGTGGTCAAAATCAGTGCAGTTGGTATGTATGTGTAAGCAAAGCCTACATATTCATTCTTTGCCATACTCTCGCTGAATGCCAGCTAACCTTCAGCATCATTTTGTCACAACCATGACTTGTAGTTTTCATTTTTGTAATTACCATATGGTGACCAGATAGTAGGTGTGAAAATTGGGGTGGGACTGAGGGGCAAAAGGTGACTAAAAAAGACAAAGTCCAGAATATCAGGACTGTTCCTATAAAGTCAGAACATCTGTTTACCCTAAACAAATCCTGAGAACATGTTAAATATTCATGGTTTGGCTTTTGAGTTGAATGTACTGCATCCTAAATAGAGTAGACAGGCAGAAAAGATTTACCAAACTGAATTTTAATGCTTTACAGGCCTACACATACATCACCAGTATTTGGAAGAAAGCAGTAAGCTAATTGAAATTACTCCTGTAGCTTTTATGATTCCTGTTAACTCACAGCTGCATGTGCAGTTTTATCAGCAGATTAATACATCTTCTGAGGTATGTTCTTGTTTTTATTAGTAATATCATGGTACATTTATTGAAAAAAAGGTTTTTATTTGAATTGTTAAAAGAAGATGCTTAAATTATTCCTGGGAAGAGCCACGTGACAAGACCCATGAATGCTAATGTAAGCACTTGTAATATAGTACCTACCTAAAGCCATCCAGAAGCTAAATCTGATCCAAGTGTCTCCGCTTAACTGTACCATCAAGTAAATATTCACCAAGATACTGAATGATGGCAAAAATGGCAAGAATGGAACCTAAGGGGAAATGAGTTATAAGATAGTAATGTTTTTCAAACATTTCCACACACCAACTGGCATAAATAAAAGGATTGATAGAGCCACTCACTGGTGAGAATAAGACAATTTTTTTCCTGTTTAGGGTAGGGTTTACCACTAAATTCTGCAAAACTTATGCTTTCATTTAAAAAATAAGTTTTGGTCCCTAAGGCTGCAAAGAAAACCTTGTCAACTTGTACTGACCCTATAGCAATGTAGTGCTGAATTCCTGAATTAATCCAGGTGGGCAGCCTGAAATAATACTTACGTTATTGAATTAAATGTATATTCATCATCTCAGTATAAATAATTAAAGGCATACCTAAATTATATCCCGTCCTTCTCAATTGCCCAACCAAACATCTCCCCTACCTCAGCACATCACTCAGTTCATCTCCACTTTCCTAACTGCCCATTTTTAAGAAAGCATTGTAATGTATGTGGAAAACTTAGTCATGCTCCAAGGAATCATGTCACATAACCCAAGTAACTGGGTTTTGTGTTAAGCAGGTCCTCCAGGCCTGGAGGAAAGAACTCTTCCCTCCAAATTACAGTTTCTGTAGGAATGAAGCACCTCTGGAACTGCTATCCCAACCTCAGGGCTGAAATGGCCTCTGTGCTACTTGCTCCTGCTCCTCCAATAGGTTAGGGAATAGCTGATGGATCTGGGTACTAGGCAATTGACTGGCTAATACCACCAATGTGCGGTATATGCTGCACTGCGGTGTGAAAGGGGTATAATGGTCTCTGTGTAAGGCCGTTTCATCCAGAAATTAAACGCAAGTGGATCTGAGATGGTGTAGGCAATGAGGTGGTAAAAATGCCTATGACCTGTTTACATTAGCACTTGCACTGTCACAATCACCAGTGGAGGTACAATAGTGGAATGGTCAGACAGTCTGAAAATGCAAGCACAGACCTTGCCACATGCACAAGCAGTTTTATTAAAACGAATGTAAAGTCTGCATTATTTATGTTATGTTACTTACCATAAAGGCCACTTTCTGCTGGCTCTGGGGCTGCCTCCATATGGTGAGAACTATGACTATGAAGAGTACTACCAATACAGCAAGAAGGCCAATGCTCCAAGGCTCCATATTAGCAATAAAATGAATCCCATATGTGGTCAGAACACTCAACCCACACACCAGAAAGGCTGTGTGAAAAAGGAAATAAACATTGGAAGGAAGTTGAATATTTCAAACCTGTTTAAATAAACATTCAATTTAATCTCATTGTTAGTAAAGATCAGCTCTGAGACATGATCAGATATTAAAATAAAAAAGTCTTTATTTTGTCTTATTTTTAACTGAAGGGAAATAAACACTTACCTAATAGACCCACCAGAAAACTAACAGTAGTAGCAGACTGCTCTGTAGGCAAGCTGGATGGATTCATTAGTGTCTGAAGACTGAAGCGCTGCCCTTGAAGCATACTAATTTGAGATTCAGTCATTGTAGTTTCCCTTTCTGATCCTGTCAGAGCCTCTTTCTCTGGAGAATATTTTGGTTGCTCATAGGCTAAATTGGGTTGGTACCTATCCATAAATAAATAGACATATACAAGACTGTAACACGTAAGAAGTTGTGTTTGTGGTAGGGGCTGAAGAAGGATGGCTAAAAATACCACAGCAGACTCCAATTACTCCATTCTACACTAGTAGCCACAATAAAATATATCTGATCTTACGAAATTTGTGTGGCATCCCTTCTATCTTTTATTTCTAGGTAGTCTATTTAATGTCCAAATTCTCTGCAAAGGCGCCTGTCTTCCAACACTGCCTGTTGGGTGCTACCACGCATAAAATAATAAAGATTACATTCTGGTAACCTGGTTTCCCAGAGCCTGGACTTTCACAATTTGAATGGAACAAGAGAAACACACACGAACTGTATGCAGTAGAAAACTCTTAACCTGGGGGTTGCAGACAGTTGTTGTGGGGGAGTGGAGTTGTAATCACCCTTCCCTTTCCATTTTGGTAACTGGGAGGATAATCTTGAAGGAGTCATAGAATGGAAAAGGTTGAGAATCACAGGTGCAAAGTCTGTAGATGCTCCAGGGCTGGAGTAACTCAGGAAAAAATAGAACTTTCTCAGCATCCACTGACAGCCAAGCTCCCCCTATCCCCTCAGTGCCTCTCACCATGGGTGGCCCTGCTGTTCAATTCCTCCCCCTCCCAGTGCTTTCCTCCCGCGGTGAACATCTGTTTTGTGGTGTTCAGGATGCTCCGGGTAGGAGGGGGAGGATCAAGGATGGGGCAGGCTCAAGGGAGAAGGTGGGTTGGGGGCAAGGCTTGTGGGAAGAGGTTGAACTGGGGAGAATGAGGCAGTATCATAGAATAGAATACTAGAGCTGGAAGGGACCTTGAGAGGTCATTGAGTCCAGTCCCCTGCCCTCATTGTAGGACCAAGCAGTGTCTAGACCATCCCTGATAGATGTCTGTCTAACCTGCTCTTAAATATCTCTAGAGATGGAAATTCCACAACCTCCCTAGGCAACTTATTCCAGTGTTAACCACCCTGACAGTTAGGAACTTTTTCCTAATGTCCAACCTAAGCCTCCTTTGCTGCAGTTTAAGCCCAGTGCTTCTTGTCCTATCACCAGAGGCCAAGGAGAACAATTTTTCTCCCTCCTTGTGACATCCTTTTAGAGACCTGAAAACCGCTATCATGTCCACTCTCAGTCTTCTCCTTTCCAAACTAAACAAGCCCAATTCTTTCAGTCTTCCCTCATATGTCATGTTCTCTAGACCGTTAGTCATTCTTATTGCTCTTCTCTGCACCTTCTCCTAACTTGTTGATTCACAAAATGAAAATACTAGAAGGTCAGCATTTGGCCCATGAAACATAATAGAATATTTATACTATTCACATATAGCCCCACAATTAACTGTGCTTGCTGCATATATAGGAGAGTAAATATAAATTACATTGTAAATTAGTAATATATGTCTAGCTTTGAATGCATCATTGTTTTGACATGAGGTTCTTCTATACAATTTGGAGTTAAAAACCCTGTCACTTATTTTTCTGAAAGTAAACGCCTCCTAGACTGCAAATAAGATTTTGGATTTCATCTATGGCCACACTGGCATTACACTGTGCCTATTCATAAAGTAAATGGACTTTTAAAGGGCACCACTTCTGGTAATCATTACAGTAAGAAACAACACACAGATTAACATTTTAGATGAATGAATCTAATTTTACAATATGTATGTAACTACAACAAACATTATACAAACAGAAATGGCATTTTGAAAGTATTCTGCATAGGAAAAAATAAAATACAGCAAAACAAAACAAAAAAAATAAGGGTGTTGCTCACCTGAGGATGAGAACACAGGCTGCTACGAGTGAGTAAGCAAGAAGTGTACCAATAGACATCATATCCACCAGAGCCTTTAGGTCAAAAAGAAATGCCATTATAGCTAAAAGAAAAGAAAAAGAAAGGAGAAATGCAGAATTTATATGAATGTTACATGTTGAGGGTTAAGATTTTGAAGTCTGCCTCAACAATCTAAGTACAGATGTTGTAACATAATAGTAATATAATAGTAACATAAGCAAAACCCTGATCACGCATAAAAATGAATTTTCAAAGCCAAGACCTACTTTTTAAAACTTGGTTGCCTGGAATTGGACACTTAACTCTCTATGCAGGTGTTGATCTGTTTTCAGTAATGCTGAGCTGTCCATAACTCTCACTGTGGTTTCTCAGCAATTTCTGAAAGTCACCTTTATCTGTGTACTAAGCAGAGATTTAGGTGCCTACTAACTTTAGGGAACTTCTTTTGTTTTCAAATATAAGACTCCTAGGCCTGGTCTATATTAGACCAGTCAGGTCGGCTTAGGGTACGCAACTCTAGCTACACAAAAAGTGTAGCAGGAGTCATCTTACCTTAATCCAAGCCATGGCAGCGTCCACGCAGTGGGAGGCCAATGGGAGTACATGCTCCAGTTGGCTTCCCTTACTTCTTGCAGAAGGAGAAGAGCCAGATGCTGGCAGAGGCTGCCCTCAGCATTCAATTTAGCGGGTCTGTGCCAATCTAGACGCGCTTTTGCACAAAAAAGCCCCGATCACCATTTCTGCGATCGGGGCTTTTTTGCGCAAAACAAATCTGAGCTGTCTACACTGGCCCTTTTGCACAAAAGCTTTGCGCAAAAGGGACTTTTGCCCGAACGGGAGCAGCATAGTATTTACACAAGAAGCACTGATTTCAGACAGTAGGAAGTCAGTGCTTTTGCGGAAATTCAAGCGGCCAGTGTAGACAGCTGCTTTTGCGGAAAAACTTGCCAGTCTAGACACAGCCTGTGTGTTTATGCTTATGCATTTTATTTTTTTATATTATAAATGTGTGTGTATATCTATATATATACCTATATATATATAT